CATGGGGACAATAATGCCTACACACCTAAATTTACATGCATGTCTAAAGAGATTAATGAGAAGCACGCGTTAGACAGAAAGCGTGCTTCTTATTGGTTTCTTCAAGTGTATAGGCATTATTGTCCCCGCGTGTACAAGAATCAATACTGATAATGTTTTCTTCTTCAAATTTGATTAAAGATTCAATTTTATAACAAAAATTTAATTTGCTTTTATAATTTCTATTTTATTTATTCTGTTTATTATTTGTCAAATAATGAAGCAACTTACTTGAATTTTGGTCATTTTGAAAAGAGAGTCTTCTACTGATTAATCTATTCTGATTCTGAATATTTTGATAATCATCATCAGATTCATCGTTATTTTGTAATCGAGAATCTGATTGTATATTTACAGGCTCTCTTCTGATAATTCGTCTATTCCTTGTATTATAATCGTGACTATCTTGATAATTATTATCATCAGATTCATTGTTGTTGTTTGCTTCTTCTCTAGAACTACTTGGTTGTATTTGTAAAGAAGGTCTTCTAATACGTCTGTTATGTCTATGTTCTAAATCTTCTGCTGATGAGTTTTCATATGAGATATCAACATTTTCGGTAGTTATTGTATAATCAGCACAAGACAAATCTCTGTTTGGGATAATAATGATTGTTCCTCTAGGCACTTCATTTAATAACTCCTCAAGTGTATCCAATGTTAATAGTGTTATTTTTTTATCTTTAGCACATTTTCCGAAACGAAATCCGACCGATTCTAATTGCACTCTTGAATATACTTCACAAATATATCTTTGGACTCTAGTCATCGACCAATTCAATTTAAATTCAACAATTTTCTTACCTGCCAATAATAAAAAATCTTAATAGTATTAAAAGTCTTTTTGTTGTGAAATTATTGAAAAGTTATGTAATAATCTTACCAAAACCATTTTCTTGTAAGTAAGCACATTCGGTCACGCATGGATAATAGTCGGCATTTGATCTACGTAATAAGAAAAGAGTGCATTTTTTGGCTGACTGTCTTGGCCTGCCTCTTGGGCTTCCGGATAATTGAAATGATGGTCTAAAATTTTCTCTCGTAGCTTGCATTATTTGAGATCGTTGCTGCCGAATAGCCCCCCTTACCGAATTTGCAATAGTTGATAATGCAAATTCGTCTCGGCTATTCATCTAAAACGAAAACTAATACTTATATACATTTATTTCTAAGCATAAATATGATCATGTAAAGTATAGGA